TTATCTGTGGTAGGAAATTAGATTTTATGTTTAAAAAGAAGAACAACTCTTTCACTTAGCAGGACAACCACTAAATATTCTGTCCTATCCCCAGAGAGATCAGATAATGATGGAGCCCAAGGACACATGAAGACCAAATCCTTATCTTCACAGGGCTCCCAGTCTTTTTGGAATGACAAAATGTCAGCACACAAAGATACTGTGAGTTATATTAGATAGTCAGATTCATAATTGTTAAAGAGCAAAAGGTACAGATATGATTTAACATCAGGAAAGAAGCATTCCCCTGGAAATGACAGAGCAAACCTTTGTCCAGACCAGCGGCTCTCTATCAGAGGGCCAAAAACGGGGTCCAGCAATCAACGGGCTGAATAAATAAGACGTGGCACCCAGAGTGATTACCACTTACCTACTTACTATGTAAGCTTTAAGTACTTCACACCTAATCATTTAATCCTCAAAGAAAACCCCTCTGAGTTGGTACTAGCATGATTCCCATTTTAGAGCGCAGGAAAACTTGCCCAAGGACCCACAGTGTGTTCAATGATGAAACTGAGAAATGTGAACCCAAGCCAGAGCTCAAGAACTTAACCTTTACACTATGCAGATCTCTTATGTGCAAATCTCACACAACGGTCTACAATTTTTCAAGTGTATGAAAATGGACGGGGCGGGGGGCGCCTGGGTGGCCCAATGGGTTAAGCGTCCGACTCTTGATCTCAGCTCAGGTCCTGATCTCAGGGTTGTGAGTTCAAGCCCCACCTTGGGCTCCATGCTAGGTGTGCAGCCTACTTAGAATAAAAGTAATAATAAAAGGAAAGAACCAGTGATCACTGAAATAAGAAGTAAATAAATGTATGTTTCATGAACTATGGAGTAGCTGTTTTAGTCAGTAGTATAGGTGTCATTTTCTCAATCAAAAGACACTGAAAGTAGAAAGAAATTATGTAAGTGTCCTTAACATTTTTGGTATTACATTTTTAAAAATTCCAGTATAGTTATCACAGTAATGTTATATTAGTTTCAAGTGTACAATATAATGATTCGACAATTCTATACGTTACTCAGTGCTCATTAAGTGTGCTCTTAATCCCCTCCACCTAGTTCACCCATCCCCCGCCCACCTCCCCTCTGGTAACCATCAGTTTGTTCTCTAGAGTTAAGAGTCTTACTTTCTTTGTTCGTTTTGTTTCTGAAATTCCACATATGAAATCATATGGTATTTGTCTTTCTCTGACTTATCTCACTTAGCATTACACTCTCTAGATCCATCCATGTTGTTGAAAATAGCAAGATGCCTTTCTTTATGGCTAAGTAATATTCCATTGTATGAATATACCACATCTTTATCCTGCATCTATCAGTGGACACTTGGGCTACTTCCATAATTTAGCTTTTGAAAATACTGCTGCAATAAACATAGGGGTGCATATATCTTTTCGAATTCGTGTTTTCATATTCTTTGGATAAATACCCAGTGGAGTTTGCTATTACATTTTTGACACAAATCATACTGGTAACGTAGTAATCCTTAGGCTAGGTGGCATATTCCCAAGGTTCATCATGTTGGTATGTTACATATGGTGTGTACGTGTACATGTACAAACACCCACAAATACTCATTTCACATACTTTTGAATGATTCAAATACATACATATATATGTGTGTGTATATATATATATATATATATTAAATGTTTAAGAGCATTGGCAGTCAAAGAAGGTCAAAAAGGCAACTTTAAAAGACGGGAGGGTCTTCATGTCTGAAGGACAGGCCTAGCATTAGGGAGGTGAATTAGATGAGCTCAGGAAGGCTGATTTTGGCAATAACAAAGATTCTGACCACAGCATGCGTCATCTACAGAATAAGGTGGGTGATTTAAAAAAAAAAAAAAGTATGTTCTCTAGCAAAAAGGAAAAATTTTGGAAGGATTTTGAATGAGTGATTAATACCACTGGAAATAATTACATTGTTAAACATCTTTAATGGGAATACTAATTTAAATAGGCTTAGGAACAAGATCAGTCAGGGGAGGGAAAGAACAGAGTATCTGCGTACTTTCTACTTTGAGTATGTGTAAGTTTTACAATCAGAAGAATATAAAGTGAAGAATTGGGGGGGAAAAAATCTGGAAACAATAAGGTTCTGGTCTGGGAACTCAAGACCCCAGTGCCTACTGCCCCTCCCCTCTCCCTTCCACTTCTCAGCCCCTCCTGTACTCATCCACAGAACGGGTCAGAGCTTTTTCACTGGAAACCTTTCCTTCCTATCCTTCATCTTTCCCTTCCACCCTATCATTCCCCTCTCTAGTAGACCTGCACGTGCTTAGCACTCTGTCCCCCAAGTGTAATGTCCACCATTACACTTAACCACATTAATGACCATCATTCAGGAACCACCCACTTGAAGGTGGGCATTGTGCTAGATATCTGCCCGATGTTCCCTCTTTCTCAACCATCACAACTCCTCCCATTGACAAATGTTACTATTCCCAGAACCTGCTCCAGATCAAATAGTACGAGGGTGACCCAACTCTCCATGGCAAGAGCATCTTAAGCACTCAATGTGTGCTAACAGAAACTAAAAGATGTAGACTTACACTACTTGCTTCCAATAAAGAAAAAGATATAGGGGCGCCTGGGTAGCTCAGTCGTTAAGTGTCTGCTTTCAGCTCAGGTCATGATCCCAGGGTCCTGGGATGGAGCCCAGCATTGGGCTCCCTGCTCGGCGGGAGGCCAGATTCCCCCTCTCCCACTCCCCCTGCTTGTGTTCCCTCTTTCACTGTGTCCCTCTCTGTCAAATAAATAAATAAAATCTTTTGAAAAAAGAAAAAGAAAAAGATCTAGAAAAGCAGTCCTCTAAAGGTGAACTTTTCTTTTCCATCCCAACTCATTCCTCCAGATAATACCCAATGGTCCTAGCATCAAAAGAAACTCGCACAGGGGCGTCTGGGTGGCTCAGTCGGTTAAGCGTCTGACTCTTCGGTTTTGGCTCAGGTCATGATCTCCGGGTCCTGCGGTTGAACCCAGGGATGGGCTCTGCGCTCAGCCTTGAGTCCGCTTGAGATTCGTCCCCTTCCCTCTCCCTCTCCCAATTCTTGCCCCCAACTTCTAAAATAAATCAATAGATAAAAATCTTACCAAGAAAGAAAAGAAAAGAAAAGAAAAGAAAAGAAAAGAAAAGAAAAGAAAAGGGAAGGAAGGAAGGGAGGGAGGGAGGGAGGGAAAGAAAGAAACTAGCACACGTTGGGATAGCCAAGTGCATAAACCAACAGCAAGGTAACTGCCGACCCATCCAGCCAGCACCTTACCCACCACCCCTGTCTCCTGGAGTTTTGGAGAACCTCCACACTGTTACTTTTTACTCTACCAAGGGACCCATAGAAAAGAAATAGATTTGGGCGCCTGGGTGGCTCAGTTGGTTAAATGAATGCCTTCGGCTCAAGTCATGATCCAGGGGTGCTGGGATCGAGTCCTGCTAGGGCTCCCCCTGCTCAGCAGGGAGCCTGCTTCTCCCTCTGCCTCTGCCTGCCAGTCCCCCTGCTTGTGCTGTCAAATAGATAAAATCTTTAAATAAGATAAAATAAAATGAAACCTCTCTTAAAAAAGAAATAGATTTATCTCCTCTTACTCTCTAAGGGCATCCCCAGTCAGCCAATGAGACATGTGTTAGTTGTGGCTAAAGTCATTTGTTGTAAATTGCTGGAGGAAACGGTTTTATTTCTTCCGCATCCCCTTCCCGTTAGGCTCCATCAGAAAGAACTATAATCAACGATCAAATTACGTTAGGGTATTGCAATTTCGCCTATAACAGGGCAAAAATTATGTACCTAAATGGGATGGCTTGCATACAACAGCACAGTACCAGGCACATAGCGAGGACTCCAAAAAAAAAAGATTACTGGAATACAAATCTATGCAGCCAATAACTTTGATACCACTCACCAGGCACTATGTTAAACTGGGGTTGAGCGCTGAGCAAAATCAACACTCACTAGATGGTTCTTTTTTTGTCAAAGGCTATTTGTTTAGGTTAACTAGGTGCTGCAGAACTGACTTGCTGCACAGATCCTCTCCACAGGCAGTCGATAAACACTTGAGAACCAAATATTCTTTCCCGTGGGTCTTTGGTAAAATGGAATGACTTTTTTCGTGACTTGAAATCATTTTTATTCTTGAATACTAACCTAAACGGTCGTTTTACTATTGCCGGGGAAGGTCCCTTTAATATGCGCCCCATTTAAAGAGTCCTTAGCTCAGCGGGTCTTTTCTTGCAAATCGTCTGCTCCCTAGCATTTTAAAGAGCTACAGGCGGCACGTGTTCCCGGCTCTGGGGAAATGAAGGTAGCTTTCCCCGATTCTGTGCACTGGGGTTACTCCCCACCTGACTCCCCTTTCCTTCTCGGTCCCCAATTCGTTAAGTATATATACTCCAAGTAAAGATGGGGAGGCCGTGCAGTCTGCGATTACGACCGGCTTTTATAAAAATGCGCGTCTCGGGTGCGGGAAGAGCGACGCGCTGCCACTCACATCCGGCTACACGGCTCTAAGCAAACCACGCTGCAGGCTGCAATGTATAGGGCGGATCTGGTGCGGCTGGCCGACTCGGTATTGGAGTGATGTAGGGGGATGGAGAAGGATCTGGAAGAATCCGGTTAGACCGGGAAACGGGCGGGGGACGGCCCGGGAAGGGCGCTGGGGGTTGGGGAGGGGGTGAGCGGGGGAAATCCCCAGAGTCCGAGGGTCCCAGGAGTGGGGGAAGGGAGGCCAGGCAGCCAGAGGGAGAAATGAACCCCCCCAAACAAAACAAAACACATACACACGTTCATATAAGCACCCTTAGCACTAAAGCCCGAACTGGCTTAGCGGCCGCCGTCTCTAGAAAGTTCTCCGCCCCCTCCCCCTCCGTCCCTCGCTCCCGCTCCAGCTCCTCCCAGCCCCTCCCTCCGCGGCGGGGTGGGACCAATCGCTCCCCGCGGCAGCTCATTACCCACCTACTCCCGCTCCCGCGCCCGATCCGCCGCGGGCTGCGAGCGCGCCCGGAGTCAGAGGTGCTCCAGCCTTCGACCGGTTCGCAGCTGGTCTGCTGCCGCCAGCTCCCTCCCGCCCGCGCACCCGTGCAGAGAGGCCCGGCCGAGAGGGCTTGGCTCGCGCCCAGTGCCTGGCTCCCGGAGTAAACGGCGCACCGAGCGGCGATGACCGCCGAGGAGATGAAGGCGGCCGAGAGCGGGGCACAGTCGGCGCCGCTGCCCCTCGAGGGGGTGGACATCAGCCCCAAGCAAGACGAAGGCGTGCTGAAGGTAAGGGGCAGCGGCGCAGGCGCCTATCGCAGCCGGCCTCCCGCCGAGCTGGGGAGCCCCGGGCCGCCTCTGCAGCGTCCGGGCGGGTCGTTGAGCCGGGCGTGCGGCCGGCGGCCGGTTGCATCGCCTTCCTGGACCCGGCTGCGTTGTTCGGGGGTGGGAGGGCAGCCGCACGCTCGCAGGGGGTGGCCTAGGTGCGCGGGGCCCCCCACGGCCATTCTCTGGCCCCCTGGGGAACCCGCGCCGTCCGGGTGAGGCCCCGGGCCCCCCAGCCCTTGCGGCGCCCGGGCCCGGGACTGCAGCGCCAACTCCGGCGTGCGCGGTGCAGCGCGGAGGGAGGGGCGGGGCCGCACCGCTGCACGCGAGCTGCAGCTAGGGGGCCCCGGGCGGCGTGCACCCGGGCCGGAGCCGGCCCGTCTCGCTCCCGCTCCGGCCCCGACGCCGACTCTCCCTCACTTCACCTCTCCCCGACCTCGCCTCTCCTTCACTTCACCTCTCCTCGACCCCGCGACCCCGGCCAGGCCGTCAGCGCCCTCCCCGCCGGCCGCAGCCGGGAAGTCCCTGGCTGCCTTCGCCGGCGGTGCTGCGAGATCTCGGCTCCCCCGGGCAGTTAAACATTAGCTAGGACCCGAAGCGGGTCACCAGAGTGATTTCCTGGCCCAGAGGCCTTTGTACGACTTGGCGCCCGGGGCCTGGCTGCGGGAGAGGTTCTGGCGCCCTCCGTCCCCTTGGTTACCCTCTTCCTAAAGGCTGGGTGGACCCAGCTAGCTCACCGGCTCAGCCATGCTGGCCCCCTTCCCTCTCCCCCCCCACCCCCGGCCCCGGGAAAACCAGGGAGCGGTGCATGCCGGGACCTGTAGTTCCCCTCCTACCTCGCCCTCCCCCTCGTGAGTTGGGGCAAGGAGTGTGGGGCCGGGAGGAGGTGCTTTGCTGGGAGCCTCGGAGGAGCGAAGGGGAGGGGTCCAGCACTCGGGGGGGCAGGGCATCTTGACCTGGGTCGGGGCGACTGATGGTGCTTCAGAGCAGGTTCTGCCGAGTACAGGATGGCGAAATCCTAGGCTGGATTTCATGTCTCCTCCTCCTCCTCTAGTGTTTCTCTTCACCCTGGCTTTCCACTCCTCCCTTGCACACGTGTGTGTGAGGCCTGGGCAAAGCTAGAGACCTCGGGGAGCCCTTATCTGGTCCAGAAACGCTCCTGGTTTTGCCCTAGATCTTGGCATCTTAAGCTGTTCTTGCAGTGGGCATGTGGCTTCCCCTAATCTCTCCAGCGCCCTGGTGGTTTCTACAAGGTTATTATTCCCAGAAGGGTCCTTTCCCCTTTTATCTTCCACTCCTTGCCCTTTGCCTTTCTACTCCTTGAGTCGTCTGTCCATTCTGTCATGCGGGCTTTCCTTTAGAAGGTAACCTCATACCTACCAGGTGACCCATGGAGTCTCCCTGTCACCTTTTATAAATGTTAAGAGAAGCAGAGATTGTTTAAGTTCCTGAGAAATGCTCTAGCCCTTAAATAAAAGACTTCACTAGCCTATCAGTCAGGAATGTTCGGGTCCCAAGTCAGAGTTTAGGGCCTGAGTGAGCGCCCCTGTGCTCATCAGTGACCTGGTATTTTCTTCACCTCTTTTGGACTGTTGCTGTTCTGTTACTCATATTTATTTTTCTGTTACCCACAAACCAGACCCGGATCTGATGACCATTGGCATTTAGGAAGAATGAGGAAACCTAGCATAAGTGCTTCCCCCTTTGCTGCTGATAATAATCTTCAACTTCCTACCAATTTAATTCTTCAACCATGATAGGGACGATTATCACTAGTTTATAAATAAGGTCTAGAGAGCTTGACTTGCATAAGATCATACAGCAAAAACTCGAACTCGGGTCTTTTGTCTCTAGTTTTCAAACTAAGTCCTGTTGCACCTCAAGAAAGATAGAGGGGGGTGGTCAGTGGGGGTGTCAGTTGGCGTCTAGCCAAACCTCATGTGGGAATCATTTGAGGCTTGGTCCCTTTGCTTCCAAGGAGACAGAGTCCCTCTGTGTTTCTGTCAGAGGTGTGCAGGCAGCTTTGGTGCCTCTTCTGCCCCCACACCTGAGTACTCACCTTCTCTGCCTTCCTCCCAGGTCATCAAGCGAGAGGGCATGGGCACAGAGATGCCCATGATTGGGGACCGCGTCTTTGTCCACTACACTGGCTGGCTGTTAGATGGCACCAAGTTTGACTCCAGTCTGGACCGCAAGGACAAATTCTCCTTTGACCTGGGCAAAGGTAGGTGCATGGTTAGTGGATTGGTAGCATCAGTTCTGAGGAGAGTATAAGCTGTCACAAGCAGAAACCATACTCTTAGAAGTGTAAGGAGGAATGGTCTGTTACAGTCCGTGAATTACTCTTCGGTTACCTCTTTTTTCTTCTCTCCTGGAACCGTGTTGATCTCCATCTCACCTTCCCCGATCACCTCTGACCACCTCAGTTCCTCTTAGGGGGGTGGATTGCCGTGTGTCTTGAACTCCTTTGTTCCAGAGTTGAATGATTTTTTTTTTTCTTTTTTTTAAAGAGGTCTGAGGACTGTGCTTACTGCAACCAGGTTCTCTACCTCCCTGGTCTCATTTCTGAAGAGTGTATAGCTTCCCGATGGGCATGGTGTAATAAAGGTCTCTGGAGCCACTGTTTAAGCCCAGGGTCAGATCCCTGCCAAGGAGGACCTGTTTGCTTTCTGTACCTACAGGAGAGGTCATCAAGGCTTGGGACATTGCTGTAGCAACCATGAAGGTGGGAGAAGTGTGCCACATCACCTGCAAACCAGAGTATGCCTACGGTTCGGCAGGCAGCCCTCCAAAAATCCCCCCCAATGCCACGCTCGTGTTTGAGGTGAGTGTCCAGGCACAGAGAGCAAGGCAAAGAGCCAGCCTGAGCTCAGCCCAGGGCCTGGCTGCCCTCCATCGCTTCCTGCCGCTTGGAAACAATGTAGCCAAGGCTAAGGGCCTGGCCAAAGGGGAGGAAGGGGCCTGGAGAGGGCAGTTGGCTCTGCTACTGCCAGAAAGCGGCCGCTGGTGGAGATTTCCAGGGGGAAAGAGGTGGCCACAAACCCCTCCTCAGACTTGAAGCGGGGTAAGGGTTGAGGCATGTTTTATTCCAAGAGCCGTGCCCGGAGATAGGTTATAATTTTGAGAGGAGTCAAGGTCAGAATCTGTATAGTTATAAATGACAGTATAGAATGTTGGTGCTTTAGAGATCAAAGGAGGGGAGAGATGCCCTCCATGGGTCGAGGAGCTGAGGAAAGCCTTCACTGAGCGGTGGAACTTGACACCATTCGGTGTCAGAATGGCTGAGCCCTCCTTAGTGGATACTTGGAGAATGTTCGCGAGACTGTTGAAAGGTGTTGGGTCCGTTCCACTGCCTACCAGATTGGCCTTCTGAGATGGCTGGCTTAGGATTGGCTGGAGCTTGTCCTTCCTGGGTGGAGCAGGTAGTAAACAGATTGATCTCCTGAGGTCAACAAATTGTGTGCGACCTGCCCACCGCTACCAAAGTTGAGACTAGAGCTCCCAGAACTTACCAAAAGTGCTACTTTGTCCACTCTTGGTTTGACTGTCTGGGTGCTCAGGCCAGGTCTGGCAGAGACCAGGGACTCTTCTGTGGACGGGCTAATGCTGAAAGGGGTTGTGTCGCCTTGCGTCTCGTCCCACAGGTGGAGTTGTTCGAGTTCAGGGGAGAGGACCTGACAGAAGAAGAAGATGGCGGGATCATCCGGAGAATACGGACTCGGGGTGAAGGCTACGCCAGGCCCAATGAGGGCGCCATCGTGGAGGGTGAGACCGCGCAGTCTGGGGTTTCGATTCCGATTCTGGTACTTAGGCCCTGGGTGACTCCTTCTCTGATTGAGTATCTCGTCTGAGAAATGAGGGATGGGACCGTACCTTCCTAACATCCCTCCAGCTCTGAGAATACGACGAGGGCACCTTGGGGGCAGGCAGTGATGAGGTGACGGAGGGAGGCCTCAGCCCCCTGCCTGCTCATATCCCGGGCACACTGCCTCTTTCTCCTGTTAGTTGGACTGGAAGGGTACTACAAGGACCAGATGTTTGACCAGCGGGAGCTCCGCTTTGAGGTTGGCGAGGGGGAGAGCCTGGACCTGCCTTGTGGGCTGGAGAAAGCCATTCAGCGCATGGAAAAAGGAGAACATTCTGTTGTGTACCTCAAGCCCAGGTGAGGAGTGGGCACTTTGTGGGGTGGGTGCGGGCGGGCGACCCTGAGAGCTGCATGTCCGCAGTGAGGTGTGTATGTAGCCGTTTGTTTCTGTTCCTCTGTGTGTGCTCACCACCCCCAAAGCCTCATTAGTGGTCCCTGTGACTCTGGCACAGCAAACCCGATCTCTTCGTATTTAGGAGCATGGTCACAACTGTCCACATCTGGAATCAAAGCCTAATCTTTTCAGTCATGGCTGCTCCAGATTTCCGCCTCTACCAGTGTCAAATTTGGTGTCTGCTATTAAACATACTTCTCATTAACGGCATTTATTGAAACGCACCTATTACGTGCCAGACACCGTGCTGAAAATTCCTAGGCATTCAAAGACATTATTCCCGCCTTCTAGGGACTCGTTCAGTGAGATTTAGTAATTATTAAGTTAGTAATCATTCCAGTGTTGGTGTGAGTTAGAAGGATATGGAAGATGCTAAGAGCCCAACTAATTGTGTGAAGAGGTCAGGGAAGATTTTGCCATACAGGAAACATTTGAACCAAGTCTCAAGGGATGGGGAGGTGCTTCGCAGGAAACAGCCCGGGAACCTTTTCAGTTTGGAGCAGGTTAGGCGTGGCTGCGGTGACCTAGTTTTTTTGCCCCCACAGCTATGCTTTTGGCAACGTGGGGAAGGAAAAGTTCCAGATCCCACCAAATGCTGAACTGAAATATGAAATACACCTCAAGAGTTTTGAGAAGGTGAGTTTGCTCAAGGTCCTCTCTGTCCTGAAGTCAGGTCCTGGAACGTGGCTCTGGGGTAGCTGATGACTTTGTTTCTCCCTTGGGGCACGGCAGGCCAAGGAGTCTTGGGAGATGAACTCCGAGGAGAAGCTGGAACAGAGCACCATAGTGAAAGAGCGGGGCACCGTGTACTTCAAGGTGAGCCAGCATCCAGGGCCCTGAGGACACTCCCAGGGAGGGAATGGGGAGCACCTGCAGTCTTCACCTGGTGTATCGGAGCTGGCTGGTCCTGCCCGGGGATCATGTGTCACTGATATCTACAGAGGATGACAGCCCCGTGCCTGAGCCTCCCTCCCTCTCTAGGAAGGCAAGTACAAGCAAGCTCTACTGCAGTACAAGAAGATTGTATCCTGGCTGGAATACGAGTCAAGTTTCTCTAATGAGGATGCGCAGAAGGCACAGGGCCTTCGGCTGGCCTCCCACCTCAACCTGGCCATGTGTCATCTGAAACTACAGGCCTTTTCAGCTGCCATTGAAAGCTGTAACAAGGTGAGGCCCCTCTAAAGAGGGCATGGGAGCAACCTTTGCAGGCTCGGTTGGGTGAGCTGCCAGGGGGTCCGAAACTTGGCCTCAGTGACTAGGGTAGGGATAGGGTAGCAGGTGAACCAGTGGGCACCCGGAGACGAAGAGCCCAGAGGCAAGGGCTTCAAGAAGCAAGCACCTTGGCCTGTCCCTCATGACTGTCTGCTTTATTCTGGGGAGAATGGAAATGTTGTTGCGGGTCTTTCTCTTTCATCGAAAGCCCAGGACTAACTGGGGTTCCTCCCTAGACCTTGGTCTTTTCCATTTCATGCCCGAAGACGACTTCCTGAGGTGGAGCTGGTGGTGTGGGTTCTGCCTGGTCCTCTGAGGCCTCCCTTTGGAACCCTGTCTCGGCCAGATAGGCCGCAGGGGCTGAGGTCTCCCCGTTGCTTCCTCTCTGCGTCCTTAGGCCCTGGAACTGGACAGCCACAATGAGAAGGGCCTTTTCCGCCGCGGAGAGGCCCACCTGGCGGTGAATGACTTTGACTTGGCACGGGCTGACTTCCAGAAGGTCCTGCAGCTCTACCCCAGCAACAAAGCCGCTAAGGCCCAGCTGGCTGTCTGCCAGCAGCGGATCCGCAAGCAGCTCGCGCGGGAGAAGAAGCTCTACGCCAACATGTTTGAGAGGCTGGCTGAGGAGGAGAGCAAGGTAAGGCCCGGGACAGGGAATGCTGGGGACAGACCGAGAAAAAGGGGCTGCCTTGTCTGTGCCTGACCCAGCTGTTGTCGCTTTTCGCCTCTGGTTGTGTATGCCATTCCTGGACGCCAGACGCTGCCCTTGTCCCTGGAGCAGTAACACGTACGTCCCCTCGGCAAAAACCCCTGTTGTGAGGGCCACGGGTCCCCTGTGATCAGGGCTAAAAACCCACTCGCGAACCCTAGAGGTCAGGAGTTGGTTGTGCCTCCTAAACTGCGTTCTCCGTTCCTTTTTAAAACCTAGGTTTTAAAAGCCTGTGTTTAAATAGGCAATATAGTTACATCGTTCCAGTGAAGCCGCACAAAAGAGCACGTAATAAAAAGGCTCTCTCCCACCATGCAGAAGCAATTGGATATGACCAGTGTTTAGATGGTTCCGGTAAATTACATACATGCACAAGTAGACTGTTTTCTTCCTCTTCCTTAATAAAAGGCACCGTGTTCTACCGGTTTTGTACATCATGCTTTCTTTGTGCATCATCCCTGCAAGTACAACGTATAAAAACAGCTCTCACGTTCTTCACTGTGCTGATGGTGTTCCATCGTAGGAGTATATCCTACCGTTTTTCCCAGTCCCTGTTCGTCTTCCAGTGTTCGAAACCAGCACTGTTGAATAGAAATCAAATGCAAATTGTACAGATTTTCAGTTTTCTAAGTAGCCGTGCTAAGAAAAGTGAACAGAAACAGGTGAGATTAATTTTAGTATCTAGTTGACCCAAGGTGTCTAAATACTGCAACATGTAATTTTTACATTGCATTTATTTTTCAGACTAAGTCAGTCTTCAGAAATCCACCATATTATTTTGTACTTAAAATCTCATCAGCTTGACCTAGTTGTAGAGTGTCCAGGAGCCACACATGGTAGTGACTACTGTGTTGGATGAGTGCAGTTCTAAGTAGTACTGCACTAAGTGATCTCGTAAATGTATACTTGTGTGTGTGTGTGTGTGTGTGTGTGTGTGTGTGTATGTATCTTCCGGGCACACCCAGAGAGGGAGTTGGCTGTGCCTGTGTAATTCTGTTAGAAGCTAGTGTGTATCTCTTTTTTACTTAGGGGGATGAGTGTTTGCGGTACAGACCCGGTACAGACCTGACAGGGTGTTAGTGTGGTAGGGGGATATAGCTAGTCCCCGCCCCAACTCGGTGCAGGCAAGTGGGCGTGGGGACATGGAGTGAAAGTCGCCTGGCTCATCAGAGGCCTGGGCCAGATGAGCACTGGAACTTATCTCCTTCCTCTCCTCCTCTCTCCCAGGCCAAGGCAGCAGTGGCTGCGGGAGACCATCCTGCGGACACAGAGATGAAAGATGAGCAGAAGAATGATGTGGCAGGGAGCCAGCCTCAGGTGGAGACAGAAGCGTAGAGTCTGCCCAGCCCTACTCCTGTGGCTGCCTGCCTCCCCTGCTCCCTCCCCTCCTCCGCCCTGTTAGTTTTGTAAAAACCGAAGAATTTTGAGTGAATTAGACCTTTATTTTTCTACCTGGTTAGATGGTGGCTTTGGGGGAAGGGGGAAAGGAGTAGGCTGGGGGATCGTTTTAGGTGGTGTCACCCCCCCCTTCCCCCTTCCCCCGTTACATGTGAATGAACGTCCATCCACACGCACACTCATCGGAATGTTAATTTATTTTGCTTCTTCTGTTCGCTATGTCCATTTTTCAAACGGTAGAAGGGAGTGAGTGGTAGGGATGCTATATGGGGTCTGATGTGAAACCAGGGTGGAGAGGGGGACTCCTGGGCAGCCATTTTCCTCGTCCTTCCCTCCTCCCGGTCCATTCCCCAACATGTGGCCTCCATGTGGGTGCTAGGGGTGTGGGACAAACCACTGCTGTGCCCATTCCTGCTCTTTGTTCCCATCCTCACCCCAGATGGTATGGCTGAGATGTTTTCTGGTGTCCTGATATCCGCCTCCTGCCCCCCAACCCTCACCAGTATTTCCCTCTGGATCAGTTTCCTTTCTCAGCCAGGTCATGTCCCCAACCCCCTCAGCCTCTTCTCTGCACGTTGCTGAAGGTCCGGGCTTACCTCAAGTTCTGTGCTTGAGCAATAAAGTGGAAATAAAACCTGGGTGTTGGGCAGCCCTTTTCTGTTTGGCCTCAGAGGGTGGGCCTGGTGGCTACACTTGGGGGGCTCAGCTGAGGGAGCGTCCTCCCCTCCCCCCACCAGTCCTGCTTGGGGTGCAGCAGCTGATGAAGCCTTCCGTGAGCCTGGTGCCAGCACGCAGGGCCTCCCCCTGGGTGCCACACAGACACCACAGGTGGTCCAGCACCCGTGCCCCACAGCCGGGTGGGTTTTCGTATCTCTGCTTTCCTTCCCTAACAGAGGAGGAGGCAAATATAAACATAAAATACTGGGACCGCTTATGTGTCTTCAGGTTAGGTGGGTCTGCTGCCTAATCGATCCAGGAGAGGCGAGTAATCTAGCCAAAAGCACAAGTTTTCTCGGTTTCTTCTCAGGGTAAAAATCCCTGTTAGCAACCTTGCAATCAGATACCTTTTAGACAGTTAAGGTACGGAACCGCCGGCAAGCCGGCAAGCCAGGGTACGCTGGCGCTCACGCACGCCTGCTTTCCAGCTTGCCTGTAGGCCTTAGTAGGAAAGAGCTTGTACTTTTTTCCATTTGGTGACCTTTGGCTCCTATAGCATTTCAGGGCCCTGGGAGAAGCCAAGGGGCGCAAGTCTCCTTTGCCTTGTCCCGGTCGTGGCTGCAGGCTAGAGCCTCTCTCAGCCCTCAGCCCTCCTGTGTGAGCTGTCCTTTCTGTGAGGTGGTAGAGGTAGCCTGCCTATCCACGTGCCTGTAACAGTTCCAGAAGAAATGTCTCCATGCTTTTACTGAGGAAGATTAATTTGTGTGAAAATTTCACCAAGTCCTATAGCATGGCTGGTGCCATGAGCCAGAACTAAAATTTGGTTCAGTCTTCCAGTGCCCACTTAACGCTCTTGCGGTGTTCACATGGTCCTGTGCATCTGGGTCTTTTTGCTATTTCAAGAGCCATCTTGCCCCTGCAGCCAACGACAGTAGCTAACCCTCATGAAGCACCTGGGACATAAGCCTAGCACTAAACCAAGAGCCTTGTGTGAATTAAACTTAATCTTTGCAACCATCCTACAAAGGAGTTTAACACCCCATTTTGCAGATGAGGACAACACGGCTCAAGAGACGGGTCTGTCCGGAATATGAGCAATCTAGAACAAATCCAAACTTGCTAGGAGACTCACGTGACCCTATTTCCTTAACTACAAAAAGAGGGGAGTGGACAAAACACTCCTAAGGTTCCTTTCAGCTCTGAATGATTCCAGGAATTTAAAATAAATGCACTTCCATAGAGTTCTAGAGCTGGATAAGCCTTGGTTGATGTAACATGTAAAACGGTACTGTGAAGATGTTTTATCTAAGTGGCCAGAAGTCTTGAGGATTAAAAACAGACGTGTCATGTACTCTCACTCTGCTCTGGACCATGCTCAAGTTCATTGCCTTGTCAGTTGCACCTTTCCTCACCAACACTCAAAATCTTCCTGGGCAGGGAGAATGTGCTTAGAAAACCAGTAAAAACCAATACTGCTAGCGCTTACTGCAGATTTTGAAATTTTAAGATCAGGTTTATCTTGTCCTAGTGCTGATCCTCACATCAAGTTCTATAAACTTGATCTCCCAAGGCTTTCCCATCTCCGTTCCTCCCCAACATCACCATGCACCGCCCGCTGGGTCTCCTGTCCAACTGCTTAAAACCCTGTCAATGACTTCCTACCCCACTTAAGAAGATTAGAACCTATATTGAGGTCCACAAAACCCTGTGGGGCCCGGCCCTGCCTGCCTTACACCAGCAGCAGAGCACTTGACTCCTTCACTCAAACCAGCCACACCACTGTAAAATGGGGGAACTGTGCATCTCATTTCACTTTAAAGAGTGAAATCTCCCATCTTCCTGTCTACCATGTTTCTTCCATTCCCTTTCCAAATGCAGAGCATCTCAGAGCCTTATAACCAGAAGGCGAAATGAAAAGGGGTTAAGGGCAGTGCTGAGTAAAGCCAAAGTAAAGAGATCCTACGTTAAGAGAATTTGTCCTCTTTCTGGAAATCATTATTGCTACTTTCTGGCTTTAGTTCCCCAGCTGCTTGCCAACCTCCGGTAACTTGAATGCACCACCCACTGTCCTCAATTATAAAATCTAAGGATCATAATAAAACCCCATTTAGTATGTAATGAATAACACTAAATATACCAATTTGGGAGGCAAAAGTAAGAATGAAAGACACAAAGTGGTTCTGAGGAGGGACGATCAAGGAAAAACGCCTTCATGAACTTCCAGATTTCTCTGGCTAGAAGAGAGGACTGGTCCCCAAGGCTGTAGGTTCCAACTGTCAGCAGTGCTTCACACATAAAATTGTTGTTTTGTATTTTTTTTTATTGAGGTGGAATTCCCATAACAGAAAACTAACCATTTTAATGTGAACAATGCAGTGGTATTTAATCCAATTAACGTCGATGTGCGACCACCACCTCTATCTAGTTCTGAAACATTTTCATCATCCTTTGTTTCCTCATGTTTGGACTCCAGAGGCAGTGAAGGACTACTCTTCATCCTTCAGTTAATAGCCAGTAGAGCATGACAGACAACAATCCTGGGGTGCCTGGCTGGCTCAGTTGGTAGAGCATCCAACTCTTGATCTCAGGGTTGTGAGTTAAGCCCCATGTTGGGTGTAGAGGTTACTTAAAATCTTTTAAAACAAAACCAAGCCAGATAACAACCCTGACAGGCTCTGGGATCAAAGCGTCCCAGAGTGGGTGATCCTTTGTGACATAGCCAAACGTGTGAGGAAGTGGGTGGGACTCCAAAGGAGAGCTCTGAAGAACAGCATTTCACTCAGAGCAGGGCTACCTACACTGTTCTATCTAATTTCTGGGTCAAGTAAGTCTAAGAGAGAGGTTTCTGTACTTGAGGACTTCTTAGGACCTTCAGTATGGTAAGGTACACTGTAGATTAGAGAGGGAAGGGGAATGAGGAAGTCTCAAACTGACCCCCTTAGGAAGCCCTAGGCCCTGCCCCCAGGATGGTGAGTGGCTCTGAGCCTCAGGTGTAGAAAGAGTTTTAAAGGTCCTGATTCTTAGCTGGCCATCCTAGGCAGACAGAACTTGGACCCCTCTGTCTACTCTTGGAGGAAATGGACAAAGGATCTCCCTGGAAATTCTTCCCACTTAACTCCTACCCCCCACCCCCCCACCCCACCCCCGCCCCATAGCAGGTTTCAAATGAAGCTGTCGTTTGGCTGGTTGGTAAAGAATATACCACCCACACAACCGTATCCGTGTCATCTAACCAGGAAGACGGCCTGGTGAAGCAGTTCTGGGGAGTAAGCCAACACCCATGCTCAGAGTGCTTGGCTTAAAAAAGACGAGCCCTAGAGATGGTGTCAGTGGAGACCCACCAACTACCCCAATAGAAAGGGCCAAGAACAGGGGCGTTCTTTGTGGAGCCAGGGATCTGTCCACATGGCTCTGCCACTTACTAAGAATGTAACACAATGCAGTTAAAGTAACTGATGCAAGGTGGGGAGAGTAGAAAGATTTGATTCATGTCATATTTCTTGAAGACCTATCTTACCTCCCTTTCTAAATTTATTTGGTTCTCTTGACAAAAGCCAGAAGACATGGTATCCATAATGTCATCATAATGACAGGACCTACAGGACAAACATTAACAGGCAACCCCTGGCATAGAAGGGTCAAGAACAAGAAACGCAACCGTTGAAGAAGATAAAACTAAGGCACTGTGATTGCTGGGCCAGGGTACGATTTCAGAGAACTGGTTAGGCCAGGGCACTTGGTGGCAGAAGCCTGGTGATCTTCATCTATTTTGTCCTGGGTTATTTATGAATTTACTTATTTATTTATTTTATAATTTCATTCAAAAGGCTGGAAAAAGAAAAAACAATGGAGAAATAACAGTGAAAAGAAACATAATTCAAAACGATTTAACTTTACATTTAGAGGTAAACATTTTAAATTGGCTTTTGCTCACGCGGTGACATAACTTTCTGCTTTGGCTCCCGTAAAACCTATGATGAAGCTTAAGGTATGAGCTAGAATAAGAGAATAGAGATGTGGTAGAGCAGGATGAGGTTGCATGCAACCGCTTCATAATGAGATCATGTATTTAAAGCACTAGGTACACCTGTATGACACAAGAGCCTTTGAAGGGACCTGGCCAAGCCCACAGTATACCACCAAAAACACAAACTTGAGTGTATCTGCAGTCCCCAGTATTTGTCTGGACTGCCTTCTGTTTACTGTTCTGTTTGCTGTTCCTCGTTCTCATGTTATCTGGCTGTCAGATCCACTGGGACCTCTGGGACAAAATGTGCCATCCCCCTCCCACCCCCCCCAGGCAAAAAGGTCCTGCCCTCAGTGCCTTCTCCCAGTTTGTCCAGATATAGAAAGCGGGACCATGCCCTATCCAAACTCCCCAGGTGAGGTGGATATCCTTATTTTCACAATGTCGACTCCTGAAAGATCAGTGCATAAACTGGCACTGACCTGCAGACCTAAATTTTAAAATATTGAACACCTGCAGAATTTTACAAATATTAGACTTCGGACGCCCTGACTGATGAGGCACCCCGAAGAAAGACTGGACTGATTCAACATGAAAAGTTTCCCTAAGACGCCAACCATGATGGTGACGTCCCATTTACACTACAGAGTAAGGCCACTGAGGCAGCGAGGCAAGAGCTTTTTATGGAGGGGAAGGCACAAGGCAGAGCAGATCCCAAATTGCCACAACCCTGACTTCTAGCGTGAGGACTTTCCTAGTAACTATGGCATAAATGGTAGAAAGGAGCTGGGCTTTTGGATCACACACTCTTGGTTTGTGTCCCATCTCTACAACTTTGTTTTGTTACTTAATCTTGCTGAACCTGTTTTTCTCACCCAAAAACTGGGATAATAATACAAGCTCTCAGGGTTGTTGTGCTGATTACATGAAACAATATATATATGAAACGTGCTTCGCTGCAAGTGGTTTTCAAACTACTGACCACAAAAGCATACACGCACCATTTAAAAATTCTTTTTCACATAAGTCAGTATATAAAATATACATAGTTAAATATACACAACTGAAACAAAGGTTTCACAGAAAGAATATTTACTACTTGAGAGTCACTTGGTATTTTCTATTTATTCTATTTTGTTTTTCTAAATGCCGGTTCAACTACATTGTTTTCAGGACTCCTAACGGGTTAACTATATAATTTAAAAAAACAAAACAAAACACTGTTGGAAACCATACAGTTGTCCGTAATTACGATTATTATATTCTCTAGTTTAGCCTGATGGCTGGGAATCCTCGTCGCTAGGGCAACAAAGGGAAGAGGTCAAGGTTATTAGGTCAAGCCCTGGGAGCTCGTTGCCTGGGGAACACATCGGGTCCCCCCGCCCCCCGGGTCAGGGTTGGTCTACCCCCTGCTCCCCGGAGCTCTGGAGGAAAGGAGTGGCCCAGGCCCCTGTCACTCAAGTCGGTAGCTAGGTAAGCCCGCCCCCACGCCCAGAGGGCTCGGAAGACCCACCTCCTGTTTTAAGATTAAGCGACGAAGGCCGCGATTGGAGGCTCAGGCGGTGACATAACTTTCCGCTTCGGCTGGCCTTCCGCTCGGGCGGCTCTCGGGAGGGGTTCGGGGAACACTTAGCGGCGCTCCCCGGTCCCTCGGCCCTTGCAAGTGCGATGAGGTCGGTTAGCTACGTGCAGCGCGTGGCCCTGGAATTTAGTGGGAGCCTCTTCCCGCACGCGATCTGCCTCGGGGACGTCGATAACGACACGGTCAGTCTCGCATGCGCACTGCGAGAGATGCGGCCCGGCTCTGCTGCTCGGCTCAGGGTGGGGCGGGGCCGGGGAAGCGGAGAAGCCCCCGCGGCGTGCGGCGTGCGCGTCGCGCGTGCGCAGTGGGGCTGGTGCGGTGGCCTACGGGAGAACTTGAGGGTAGCTTCTGTTCCCGGACGTCGGGACAGAATTGCTCTGGTTTCGTGGTCTGGTGTTCTTTTAGGGGCATAGATAACTGACCCTTTGCCTAAGTCAGTAACTTGTTCACAGTGGGTGCCTGGTAAACCGGTGGCCAGATCTCCGGTTCATTGCTTCTGTTGTGATGCCTTCTCCAGGGGCAACACCTCTCAAATAATTTTACCTTTCGAAGTCTCAGAATAAGCTTACAGAGCGCCTTTGCTGCTATGACACGTGCCCCTTAAGCGGGAATACACTGCTGTACTTTCCTGCCTCTCCAGGCCTCCACCCCAGTCTTGCAGGGTTTCTATAGTGCCTGCCCCAAAGGGTCTGGCAACTTGAAAGCGCTACACCTTGGTTGAATTACAAAAACAGTTTACATGTACCGTTTCATCTCTCCCCAGTCGTTCTTTTCCTCGTTGTTTAAATCAGTTAATACAGGTAAAGCAGGCAGAACTATGCCTGGCAACACAGCTAACGCTGAGTGTTAGTGTTGTTAGTATTAGCTTCTATTTTTCCGCAAATATTTATTCAACTGTCCATCGTGCGCCAAGGACTGTACTAAATTCTGGGAATTCCAAAATGAACAAGACAGCGCCAGCCCTCAGGTAGTTCATAGTCAGGTGGGGTGATAGTCACAAGAATAACAAAATATGCATTGATTAAAATATGTAAAGAGTTTTGGGGTGGAGCCTCAAAAGTGGATGGGGGCTGTTGCTGGTGTGAGACGCTCTTTTGACAGACTGTATGTTTTCGTTCGTTATTTCAGATTTTTAATGCAAAGCACCTTATTTCCATCCTGTTCTACCCTCTCTCCCGTCTCCCCCATCTCCCTATTCTGCCTCCTTACTTCTTATTCTCACCTCCCTAACCGTTCTGTGCTCTATTCCCTGGAAAAAAACAAGGTCTAAAACATGCCCTTTCTCCCCCACGCCCGGCCCCCTCCCCCCCAGCCTCCTTTGTGCTGTGATAGAGAAGATATATTATGAGGCCTCTTTTGGCTCTCCTCCCTGGAGGGAGGAAGGAGTTATTCTCATAAATTTGTATTGTTTTCTGGGCTTTCGCATTTCTTCATATGCCAAGCGTTACAATTTTATGAGAAAATCAAGAGAGGCATTTTCAAATAGTAAATTAACAGTGACTTTAGGTGTGCATTCTTTTCTGTATTATCTGATTGTCTTCTTTGTTTAAAAGGGAAAAATACATGCCTTTTTTCATAGCTTCACAGCATCAGCTTTTTTGGAAATTGAACTTTTGTAAGTGGATTGCACTAATAGACTCAGTTCTGCAATATTAGATATATTGTACTACCTTTTTTTTTTAATCTGAGTTGTAAGCTTCATAAGGATAGGAAATTTTTATCTGTTTTTTCACTGCTGTATTACCAACACTTAGAATAGTGCCTGGCACATAGTAGGCACTCATCAAATGTTTGTTGACTAAACGAAGACAGTTATGGAAAGCAAATGTGATTATGTCTCTGAAAGCAGTTTGAAGGGCTTTGCCTGTTATTGATAAATATAACTGAAAGAAGGGCAAGTAGTTGAGATAGTTGCCTAGTGATTGTGTGTGGTACATTAAGCCTGCATGAGAGTGGATAGAAATTCTGTTATTGGTTCCTCAGGCTAGCATTTGGAGATTTGGGGCAGGACAAAGACTTATTTCATCCTAATAAATCAATAACCTAAAGTTCTTTGAAGTTAACTTATTTCCTGGTAAGTTGGGGGAGGAGAAGGCAGAAATAGAATGTACACCCTCTTGGACTGCCCACAAAAAGCCTGGCTACACCAGGGGGAAGTCTCTAGAAGGCTGTAGCAGATCAAAGACCTCACCTCCTCTCTCCTTGAGTATTTCTGGTGATGGTACTCTCCAGCTGGGGTGCTTTAGTGTCAGTGAGTGACCTCCAGAGGCCAGAGCCAGGATCAGCCACAGAGAAGCAGGACTGTTGGGAAGTTATAGCTGTGGGAAAGCAGATGGGCCACTTTGGTAATGTCCCTTTCCAGGAGACCAGCCATTACCTCATTGTCATTGCCTGTCTTGCCTGTCATTGCCTGGCTGGGTCAGATCTACTTGCACACCGTTTTATGATTTTATTCCTGTGTCTGTGCCCTTGTTAAACAGTGAGGCTCAGCAGGGAGTCTGCGACATTTATCTTCGTACCCTCAACTCATTGT